GATTCCTGCAACCCAACAGCCCCAGGTGAAATGACACAGGCTGTGGCCTATGATGAGTATCTTCACTCCCATGATCTCATCCCATCTTCAATACCCTCCATAAGTGGGGGTTATTCGTCCCATTTACAGGTCAGGATATTGAGCCCCACAGAGGGGAAGGGACGTGCTGTGGGCAGAGCTGAACTTTGAGCCGAGACTTACTCCTGAAGGGTCCCCGCTCTTCCCTGCTTAGCTGTCCCTTCGCTTTCCCAGATGATTTGGCTTCTGTCCCTCCCCAGCCGCCCCCATGCCTCCTCAGTAGCTGGGCCGGTTTGTCAGTGTCTCTCAGCAACCTTCTCTCGGCTCATAACAATTAGAGTAATTGCCTGCATTTACGGAGTGAGCTGACTGTATGCCAGGCCCAGCACCACGTCCTTCTCATTTACTGTCTTAGTTAACCCTCATAACATTGTTATGAGGTCGTTCCAATTACCGTCCTCATTTTAGAGATGGCAACACTGGGGTTTGGAGAGATGAGATGGCTTGCCCAAGGTCACACAGCTCGGGGCACAAACCCAGGTGGCTGCTCTGGTGCTGGCTTCTCCCCTGCCCTGTGCTGCCTCCCTCTTGGCGGAAGGCGGCACTATCAGACGCTCTGCTGTGAGTAGCCTGAGGTGTCCAGAGACACTCAGCGTTTAACACTCTTCTCCTGACTCCCCAGAGCCTGCCATGCCGACCCGTCAGGGAGGCAGCCTGGTCACATTGTCCTTGGCTGCCAGGACATGTCCAGGTCATCCGTCCTGAGTCAGCTGGGAGAGGAAGGGGAAGCCAGAGGCACAGGGGACTTAGAGTTTAAGAGAAGAAGGAGGGAGGGGCCAGGCGTAGTGTTTCACGCCTATAATCCCAGCACTTTGGGAGGCTGAGGCGGGCGAATCACCTGAGGTCAGGAGTTTGAGACCAGCCTGGCCAACATGGTGAAACCCCGTCTCTACTAAAAACAAAAAAAATTTAGCCGAGTATGGTGGCAAGTACCTGTAATCCCAGCTATTCGGGAGGCTGAGGCAGGAGAACCACTTGAACCCAAGAGGCAAAGGTTGCGGTGAGCTGAGATTGTGCCACTGCACTCCAGCCTGAGCAACAGAGCAAGACTCCATCTCAGAAAAAAAAAAGAGAAAGAGAGAGAAGAAGGAGGGAGGGACGAGTGATAGGACGAGGGTGATAGGTGGGTC